ATATAAAATTTATTGCATTCGCAAGGAATTTTATAAATTACATTTTTTGTATTTTCAATTATATCATGAGGTTTTGTTACTGAAATTTTACTTCTCATTGTATTTTCAGTTTTGAAGATAGTCCTAATATTACATTTTTTACCTACTCGTTTAATTTGATCTGAAAGTCCCAAGTCTTTGAACTGAAAATTTGCACAGAACAATTATCAGAGGGAATTTTCATATACTGTATTATCCTACTATTGTTACACAATTTATTAACATACTCTTTTTTAGGTTCATTTAGGTTTTTTTGATAACGATAGCAGAAAATAGCTATCGAAACGTCAAGGTAATTTTTCAAATTAATTTCTCTACTAATTGGAATTTTCTCTTAAAGCTTAAGCCTAAGTGTGTCACAGGATACCCTCTAGGTGATAGTTCTTGATTACAGTTTGATAAATAATTCGTTCTTATTGCGAAATAGGAACACTATTTATCAATCTGTAATAAAAGACGTGAGGAAATTCTGTCTTTTTTTAAGACAAAAATTTTCGATGCGAAATACCCAAAAAGAAGTTTGTAAAAAATGAATCCGCCTCAACAATATAGAACTGATCTACAACTATTTTCATGTTTATCAATGTGATTCACATGCACAACAAACAGTCCTTCACATGTGTGCTTGACCGCTAAGAAATTTCTGGGAAATCCTGTTTGAATCATTTGCAACTTTAACAATTGTGGAGGTTACTAGGATAATTTCCTGCGATAAAGATAAATGTTTCGCACGTGATGGATCAAACAGTGCAAGTTTGGTCGTTGCAAAACAGTGTCGGATTGAAAAAGTTGGAAACACCGACAGGATTTTGATTTAGGCCTAACTCGATTTACACCGTCGATATTTGACAATTCATCTCCAAGAACTGACTCGAACGCAACGTTCTCCAGTAATTCAATTGAAAAGGTTTGCCGCATAGGAAACGCATCCACTAATTGAAAATATTTACGTAGACAGTCGCAATTTCCCAATAAAACTGTCTCTCGAGTGAATTGCAAAATCGCTTGATATTAATTAGGCAAATGTGGGTCAGAATCGGCAAAGGAAATTACCTGCAATTAACCAACTAATTCGCTTAAGTACCTACGTAATTATCGGATGGCAAAAACCACATGTTCTAAATGAAAGCAATATTGACCTATACGCTCATTATTGTTGTCACCGGTAATGGCTGTACAGGGTGTCCCAACGAAAACACTAATTCTTCCAGTTCAGATTAATAATGCGACATTCTTTGGCTCGGACTTTGGTTGCCTTTCTGCTCCTGATGGTCAAACAAATTAGGTTCTTTTTGGTGAAACTTGGAGAATTTTACGGTGGATTTTATTGAAATTTGCTGTCGCGTTTTCCTCACGCAAGACCCTAATTTTCATGCGTGCATCGCGTTTTGGGCAACTGGGAAATTCTTGAGTGTTTCACACATACATACGTTCATGTGGGAAATTGAAAATAATTTTATTTCGCACGCCAGAAAGACAATCATGCTGCAATTTTAGCGAATTTGATGCCCGTTGAAAGCACTTGGAAGCAAGTCAATGTTTCTGTGCAGATTTTTTTTATTATTTGAAAAAAAAATTTTACGCTTGTATAAACTGGAGTAAAACATAGGCAGAATTTGATAAAAACCGGTTGAGCTTTTATTAGAGCGACTTCTAAACCCTCGATTTCAGGCAGTTAACGCTAAATCATGCGCCCGAAAACGTGTTCATCAAACTAAAAACTCTCGCGCTAAAAAGCCCCAATTTCGTCTTGGCAGGTTTGTGAGAGAAATGAAGGATTTTGTGTTACAGCAACGCAAACAGGCAAAAACCGAAACTTTTCGTACAAAACAGTCATGCAAATTCTTCTGCTGTCCGGCCGCCGCTAAAATACTAATTATCAGCGGACTCCAAGGCCGAATATTTCTCGGAAATTATAGATAAAATAAATAAGAACTTGCACCACCGCGCCTCTTTCGTTTTTATTAATGACTTATAAATTCGCCACTTTTTCTCATCGTCTTCTCCGCTAATCGCGATGTTTCTAAACACGGTCATAAACCAGCAACAGCGGGTAAGTTTTTTGTTCTAATGATTGTATGCTAGTTGGGCTGGGGAATTATTATTAAATAATGTCTCAATCAGTCGGTAATTTTGCGTGCAAAACCACGCACTACAAGTCGTTAATTACACCGAGAAATATCGGGGCAAATCAGTGCAGAATGATGTGGATAAGTCTGGGCGCAAGCTATATGGCAGTGACGTCATGATTTGAGGCTCCATTACTACGTGGCAGTTAAATTATTTGTGAAAATGAGGTTAAATTTGCTGAGTGTGAACACTGTTTTTAAAGTGTGTTTACACACACACACACACACACACACACACACACACACACACACACATATACACACACACATACACACACACACACACACACACACATACACACACACACACACACACACACACAAGTAGAAAATGCATCGCAAAATTGAATTGATAACCCGGAAAATTCACAAAAACTGCCCAGCACTCGCCAAGATCAATCAAATCAATAATTTTAAAATTCTTCCATACTTTCGCCAATTGAAACCCTTTGATGAAAGACGTTAATAGCATAAAATCCCTCTCGCTCGCTGATCAACTAATAGACAAAGAACTACAATTATTGCGTCACTGCCAAAAACATTGGGACAAACTACATTTGCACAAAAACATCATTTAACAGTATAATCAAAGGTTTACAAAACGGCAAATTCTATCAATCGCGCCGGGAAGTTGATGGTCTCGAGGCATTCATATAAATTCGAATTACTTGTTCGTTGATGATGAGTTTTTCTGCTTCCTATTGGCTTGAAGGTTGCCCCAATGGCACGACAAATTGTTTACAAGATTACTCAATTCCGAAAGAATGCTAATTAAATATGCATCTTTCCCAGGCTCTTTTGTGTTTGTTTAAGTTGCGATGTTGATTCCTGCCGTTATCAAGGGCGCTAAAGATTGCCAAAGGCCAAGGTCTAATGCTGCTTAATTTAGTGATTGTTAATTGAAATTAAACAAAACGCCCGATCACTTACCGTTTATGAAAATTGGGGCGATCTGCACGGGTTGTCGGTGAATTTACATCGTAGTCGTTGAGGGAAGCCTGAAACAACCGAGAAAATGTATTGAACAATTGCGGCCAGCGGGCTGAAAATAATCAGAAATGATACCTGAATAAATGCTATTCAAAAAGTCATTGTTTAAAATGGAATTTAATTTATCACGCCATTGTTTCGTTTACTTCTGTTTCCGCTACTTGGCTCGTCTGGGCTTTAGTTCGTAAAGCAGAGACATGACTGACCTAAAAGTAGAGGACATGTTCAAGTTCAAGGAACGTGCTTAATTAAACAGGAAATTGTTGAAAGAAAACAACAAATTATATGTCGATTAGTGTGTCCACTTGGAAGTACATAGGAAAGCCGATGTAGCTGCCCATTTGGAGGAATTCCAAAGACAATGGCGCTCGCAAATCAATCAAAAATCAACCGACTACTTGCAACCAATCAATTATCATTGTTTAAGTGGTGATTTTTCTCGAAGCGATCATTAAAAGCGATATTTGATAAGTTCAGTGGATTGCGGTTGAGATTTCACGTTGAGCCCCCCGCCAACAGCGAATAAGGCCATTAATTTGGCTTCAACAACAACAACAATTGTCGGTAACCTATGCGGAATGAAATAGCAACAATATCGTGAACGGCATATATCACGATTTTCTGCGGATTGCTTAATGCTTGTAATCTGATAAAGGTGAAAATTGTTTTCGCATTCAATCGGCATTAGCTGTTTACCTGAACGGTGAAATCTGTGAATTGTTTAAATAACATGCACCGGACTAATCGAAAAGCGTGGGTTTAGAAGGAATTTCCAACTGTGATTTTGGGTTTTTTCACTTTTCGCTGCCCTGCGGGTTTATCATGGGCGCAGATTGCCACTCTAGAACGTAGCTGG